CAGGCGAGAACCAGGCAAGCACCAGTCGAAGGAAGCTTCCCTTCTATAGTAGAACCTCATTCGTTACACGAAATAGAATCGTACGCAATCGAACCGAGCGCAAAGAGATCACCAATCGTATGATCCATTTTCTCTTTTCACCCAAGAAAACATGGCAACCGTCACTGTTTCTACAAGGACTTGCCAAAGTTCTAGAATGTTGGGGACCGTTGGAATGCAATGAACGAGGTTCTACTGTACTTGATACGAGGTTAGCGATCAAGCGTGAGGGATCAACGCGCCGAGCACTTCAGGCTTCTCCTTGCAAGAGGCTTTTCCGTCCCGGCATCTAGGGCCACGAGAATAGAGCAAGTTTCTAAGAAATGACGGGGACGCGCACGGGCCGCCGCGAGCCGTATCCACAGGTAGTTTTCAGGAAGCGATGGTATTTTCGTCGGTCTCTGTTGTCTACCTGGCCGACCCGGAATCAAGATAAACCGATGTCTTGTTGCGTTTTTCGCTAGGAAACGATGGAATGTGTCTTGGAAAAGGGGTTGGGCATTATTTTTCTATAGTCTCCATGATGTGAATGTATGTGTAGATATGTATAAGCGATTATAGAAAGCGATAAGGAATTTAAGAAATGGAAGATTTTTTTAAAATGCGTGGAATCGTTGAATTTGATGTTCATGGAAACATTGAGAATATTAGGATTTTCAAGGAAAGCGGCTAGGAAAAAATTCTTTTTATCAATATGGAGTTGTTGAATATGATGACACGCGAAATTCCTTGCGTGAAGGACAAGATTGGCTCGTCAAGGAGATTAAATCATTTATCGGCGCTACGTGGATCGGTAGCTCGACACGCGTGAGTTTTTATGCTTTCCTGGACATTTTATGAGCACGTTCCGGACCACGATTTTCTATCGGAATCATTATCAGCCGGGGCGTTTCAGAGCCGCGGAAAATACGGCCGGGCAGCTTTCGACGACATTTTATCGAAGGTGAATCGGTATATTCGCGGTGGCGCCTTGTTTCAGCGACGCGCCGCGCCGCACACAGACACATATTGCCTTTATCTGTTCTCATGTTTGCCAGTAAGTATTCGGATATTGCAAAGTTGCTAATAATTCGCGCTGATAAATCGATTATTATCGGATGGACGATGCGTAGTTACGCAAATTATCGCGCTAATGCTCCTTATCGTTCATCGTTTATTTCACACTCGCCATAATTTTCCCTGCCGTTTCCTTAATACTTAGCAATTTCGATTGAATGTATCCCTCATGTAGTTTTGTATCTCAATTTTGAACCACGTGAATTCACCTCTCGCAGGTAGAACGATATGGTTCAAAACATAGCCTGAAAATAGGTCTGACGCCAACATGTCTAAAAATAATTCATCACGTATTACGATAAAGTACGTCAATTAGACGGTGCATTTTGGTATTTACAATCGAAAATTGCCATGTTATTTCCGACAAGAAAGTGTTTAAACGCGATATAACATTGTATATATTGCACAGTTCCTATTAATACCTGAAAGGTGACTACAATTTCGACACTTTGGCACTCTACTAATTCTTCATACCGACATGAAAATTCACGGAGGATGAGACTTTATTTCAGGAAAGGGTGACGAGAAATTTCATTTTGGAACGCATCATTTGTAAGAGCCTGTAACTCGCGTCTTTACTATAGCACAAATTAAATTTTTGATCGCGCTCTTTGAGAACTTCCACATGCTCTGTTCGTACGTTGGTAATAAAAAATGAATGGAACACTTTTTTCGACCTACAATCAATTGAAATCTATAATTGAAAATCAAGAGGGAATTTAATTCACTGTTACGTCTTGAATTTTTATTCGATATTTTATTGTTACATCACAGACGATTGTATGAGCACAGTAGTCACGACTCTTCGCAGTTTTCCTCGCTTCCTATCTGCTTCTCAAACACAAACAATACTTGAAGTTTTACTTCAAACACGCTACGAACCGTGAAATTTAAACGTTGAAGTGAAGGCGAAGAAATATGTAAATCAGTATTGGTCGATTCCACAAATACCAGACAATGATCAATATTATCTCTACAATTAATTTGGAGTATCCATAAATGAATACTCTAATTGTCTACAAATTGACTATTCTTTTCTCTGACCTCGTTCTTCTCTTAGTAACTATTAAATTGTTCTCAAAAAAATATTTCGAAGAAATTATTTTCTGGAAAAATTACATTAACTCCAGAAAAGATAAAGTAGCGCATTACATTAACCCCAAGAAATCGAACAATTTTTGTGTACAACATTTTTTCATCTTCATTGATCTTTAACCAGTTAAGTGTAGGATTTAGTTTGAAAAATCTCCCATTGCGCGCGCAATAAAATCAAATACTAAAGTGTACACTCGTTAAAGGCAGAGAAAATGCATCTGTAATATATTCTAACGAAAACTAAAGCGAAACGAAGAAGAATTACACGTTTATCTGAAAAAAACCAAATAATTTATCGTTGAAACAAATTAGTAACATTTTGCGTTTTAAGATGACGTGTGTACTCGTCGAACGCAGTTAACTGGTTAAATAATTCGATAATACAAGTTCTTCATTCGTAACTTCGTTTCCACCCTCGAAGCCAGAATTTCAAACGATAAAAAAACAAGCGAGTATCTAACATGTCACGGTGCACCACTATCGACCGTAATGTTTAATCGGAATTATCAGTCATTCGACGTCGGTGGTCAGCCGACCATTCATACCTCCCGCGGCTAAGCAAGCCGAGGCAATGGTGGGCAAGGTCACCATGTTTTGGCAAAGCCGGAGGAGCGCCGGCGCACGGTGCAGAATTTCAAACGGACAGAGTGAGTCAGAAACTTAATTTTAATTGATATGTCGCCGCGACACGACGGGACGCGACACTGTCGCGTACAAACGACTAGAGGCTCTTTTGGTACGTAATATTATGCGATGCTAGAAACCGGCGACGTGTTTCGGGGAAACGCAAACACGAACTTTCTCGTGAGTATAAATAAATATATAAAATAGCACTATTCCGAGGACCGTCCCCGTTCTTACGTAATTTACTCTAGTACGCGACACGTGTTACACCTTACGTCTCCAATTCTTTCTTCCCTTCTTGCGACGAGTCACTTCAAAGAATAATTTATCTCGTACCTTTGCACCGCTATAGAAACACTCTCGTTTATAAGAACTTCTCTGTATCACATATACTAAACATCCAAGAATAACTTCTCTAACCAAAGGTGAATGGTTCGAGGAACCACGTGATTAAAGATTATCTGCGGAACAAAGTGACCAATTTCCTAATGTTTCCAATTGTGAAACGTTTAAATTTCTCTCCCTATTTTATAGTTACTTTGTCAACTACCTCGTTTGATTCAAACAATTCTTCCTTAATAAACCCTAAGCAATATAAGAAACATCATCTTCCCTTGTTCTCTAAGCAATACCTTCAAACCTATTATTTATTTCACCCAAACTCCACAACTATAAATGTAAATGACCAAAGGCTACATAGTGAGATGGAATCAAACACAGTTGAAACACGAAAACGCTTGGAACAGTTGATCCTCGCAGTCTAGGGGGATTTTACTGTTTCTTGGGAATGGCGGAAGACGTTTTGCCGGGCGACAATAGAATCCAGCCGGCTGTTAGGCGCCGCGTCGGGTTACCTTGACGTCCGCGATATTCGCGCCGCAATTTGTCCCCTATGGTCTCGTCCGCGACGGCGTAAAAGGACGTAAAACGACATACCGGTTTTCGCTGGGCCGCGCCAATAATAGAATCCTCCGGTTTTGGATTAGGCTTCCCTAACGGGGCACCCGTCCCGCCGCTCCGCTCCGCTCGGCGTCGCGCCGCGTCGGCCACGTTTCGTTCCGCCGCGCCCCGCGATTCCCCATTAATCCCGCTTAATCGAAAACAGAGCCTTGGGAGCCGGCTTGAATTCTCTCGTTCCTTCTCCGGCCGTCATGCCGACTCCGTTTCGGATTAAATTGGAATCGGAACGCGGCGCAGAACGACCATACACCGCTAAAATAGATTTATCGCGGCCCCGGCTTGGCGCCGTTAATGAATGTCTTCGTTTCGTTTTAATGTTGCGTTTACTGTCGCCTTGCGACCGCAAGCGCGAGCTCCGTACATGTCCGCTTGGATCGTTTGGCCGCGGTGGGTATTAATCGCCTCGGCTAAAGTGTGAAACGGTGTAAAATTCTTCGAAAACGGATTTTGATTTTCGGTATAGAGGTCAGATAGGATTTGGTCCGGACGCAAGCGAAGCGGTTTAGGAGGTACGCATTTAGCGGAGGGTTCTGAAATACAGTTTGCGTCAGTGGGAATGAATTTTTGGGGTGAATCATTAATTAACCGGTGATTTTTGGTGGAACTCGGAGTCCCTAGTTTTAGGCTATTTTTGTGTGTGAAATAATTATTAACTGGAATTTTACGGAATATGTTTTAACCCTTTGCACTCGTATGTCATGCTGAATATGACAATACAAATTTGTTATAGGACGTTGGAAATTGTTTTAGAAAGTACCACATTTTAAAAGATTATAAAAATTAAATCCTATAATAATAATAATAAATAAAATAAATATAAAACGTTGAATTCTAACAGTATAAATTACTTTAATTCATTTTCCCAAAGATAAGTACAAGTTTATACTCAACAACATTGAAAATAAATCGAGTACAAAAGGTTAAATTGATGTGTAACACTTTGACTGCCAAATAAATACTCATCAAAACTTCTGTGTAGTGGAATCAGTTTATTTAGCATTTTTCTTTATAACGATTATTCTAGTATCTTTTTTATATTTCCTGCATCCAACAATATGCTGTTCGTTTGATATGCTAATAAGAAAATTAATGTTTAAATTTATATAAGAAATGGTGTTACCTGAATTCGGGTGACATGGCACTCAAAGTGTTAAAAAGATGATTGATATATTGATATCTGGGAAAAGTATGCTTATAGGTAGTTGATTGTTATTTTCTTTTTTCAGAGTCGCCGCCACCCCCGTACTGCCTTATTGCCGACAGACTGAGACCCGAAGGTGAGCAGATTTCTTTTATTTTACTTAAATCGTGTACGACTCTAGTAGAATATCTTCCAGGCGAAACCATAAAGATTTTACTGGTTTATTTGTGAGTGAAACTCGAGGAATAATTTAAATCTTTTGCTTGATATTCTAATATTATACGAATCTTATCTATAGGACGCTTTAATCGCTACCGAAGAAATTACTTAACATAAAATATTCATATACAAACAATCTTGTGAATCATTACACGTGAAGATTAACATCTAATCGGATTTGATAATTTTCGTAGAGATTAGGAATTGTTTGTTTTTCTATTAGTGAAGCAGTGACTCGAAAAGTTCTCACAATTTCAAGTAAGAAAATTCTCTTCGGATTTTTGCTCGAATAAGCACGAACAGACACAATTTTTTTTTTTCGGAGACTGATAGTCACGATCGATACGCTTCGAATGTATGAATAGATCATCTTAGAACTACAACGGACGTGTTGTAAGTCGATCTTACTGATTGCAACGAACCATGTGGAGATAGGTTTCAGGGTATCGCTGTTTCCGTGGTCAACGTAGACCCGCTGACAAACATTGATCCGCTTGATGGAAGTCGATCGGCCTTTTGTGCACATCAGGAAAATTTCAAGCTTGTACTCTAATTCATGTGTGTCTGTTTGATCAATGTTTGGAACAATTTATACTAAATTAATTTTATATATTTTTAATTTCTTCGTATTCCTGTTTATTTATATATCTTTTATCTTTACACGCACTGATGAATGTTTACATAAACAAATTCAAGAGTACAATAATCTGTTGTAGCTACTCCATTTGTATTATTTCTACATTAATAATTTACTACGAATAACGAATACAAAATGTTTTTATCGTTAAAAACTCAAATTTATACTGTCCTTATAATTTTTACAATTACCAAGCGAACCACGAAAAAATAGGATCGTGATTCCCGATATTTTTATGAATCCTTTCCAAGGCTCAGTTTCCTGCGGCTGATTTTGACTGACTGCTCCCTGTTTCATTCTTTTCTCTTTTTATGACTCATTCTAAACTGGTTCTCGGCACTGTTGAGACCACGGCCGGAGATCCTTCGGCCATCGATAGATCCATCCTGTGTTCTCCGCGCGCCGATGACTCGTGCCGTTTGGATCATGTGTAGCTAGAGACTAGAAGCGGTAAAAGTTACTCGAACAAGAATGGCTGTATTCATTCGTAGACGAGTTCGATGTTTCATGGAACGATTACGCAATAACCGCTAATGAAGTGAAGTAATCTACTTATATCGCGTGCCTTACAAATCGGTGTCTCAATTGCTTCGAATTTCTATTTAAATTCCATGAATCGTTTAAAAATTCTAAAATTTGTCCTCTGAAGAACTCCAGATTTTTCACTATTTTAATTGCAGAATAAAAAACATCGAATTTTTACCAACTTCTGTCTTTTAACCACTTAACTGCGTTCGACGAATATACACGTTATCTTAAGACGCAAGATGGTATTGATTTTTCAACGATAAACTATTTATTTTTTCAGATAAACGTATAATTCTTCGTTTCGCTGTACTTTTTCGTTAAGATGCATTATAGATTCATTTGTCCTGCGTTTAATAAGAATACACTTTATTATTTGATTCTATTGCGTACACAATTAGAGATTTTTCAAACTAAATACCACAATTAACTGGTTGAATCTCTCCAAAATCTTGTAACTTCGTTTCTAAAATTCTAATTACACTTTGACCAACTTCGATTTTAATTTTCTCAGAAAAATGTCAATTTAAAAATTCGAATTATTTAATATTCTGGTATTCATATTTCTTTCATGCAGAATGGTCCCTTTCACTTTCGAAACATCTATTTGCTGCATAATTACGACAAAGCGTGAAAATAAAACTCTGGTTCTTCCATGCACATCGCGAAAGAATGATTTTGTATTTCCAACATTGATTACATTATCGTGAGACCGAGTTGCATATGCCACGTATCATCAATATTTTGCTCCGGCGGATACTATGTAATCGAATGATTTCTTTGGAATCGCGCGATGACGTATACAAGATCGCACGGTTTGTGCCAAGCTTTATATGACGAAATAATAGCGCCTGCGGCTTTCGAGGCGGCCGCGTGTTCGCTGACGAATACACGTGTATTCAAATGTATGTGGAGCACGTATATTTGTCAGCAGAAATATACTACTTAGCGGGTTATACCGCTTGAGGTAAGTATCTCATGTCGATAGAATGTTGTACCAAAGCCCATATTTATGTAACGTGATCTTGTCAGAGGTCCAAAGATTTCGAGGGACACAAAGGCGCTAATGATTCGTGCCGGCGGATGCTGTACTAACGTATGGCTCGTACGGCAAGAATTTATTGCAGATCTTTGAAATTTGACTAGAGGAAAGCATTGTTTCCCTGGCTCTTATAGAAAGGAGACAGGGAAATAGTTGTCGCACTGTACATCACTATGACGACTAACAAACATTATAGACGAGGAATTGTTGTTATTATTATATTTATGAAATTAATGAAGCAGTCTTTTAGAATTTTATACTCTTTACAACTTTTATGCGATCGTTTTGTATCATTTAAATACTTTTATTTTCAATAATCTACATGTAGAGATATATGTTTTATTAATAATAGTTATGATTTAGTTAAATTGGTATTAAAATATAAAATTGTATGTTATTAAAATTTTTATATAAACTGAATGAAATAGTGTTTCAATTGAGTCGTTCCCCAATAATAAAGGTATCACTGACAATGTAAAATCACATTCGTAGAAAAGTTAAAAAAGAAACGCGAGGTCTGATGTAGCGATATTAGCATAATAAGATCAAATTGTTAGCGATGTTCGTCATCCGTGAGAAACGAGGGGCGGTGGAGTGAGTAAAAAACTGATTCCTGAGAGGAAGAAATTCATTAGGAGAGTTTGTCTCTCACGATCCTGTAGTCGCAGGCCACGTAGATTTATGCTTGAAGAAGGAAACTGGGCCACTGCGATGGAGCAGAGGAGATAAAAGACTGTGCATCGCCACTTGTTGCATTCACCCGAGAAATAGGAGAAATTTCTTCATTCATGAAACTCGAACCAGCGCTTCGCCAACCGACGGACTTACAAACCGATGGCAATTAACAGAGCTGGAACGGTTGACGCGTCAGAAAACACATGATGGAAATTCTCAGAGTTTTCTCTGAAATATTTCGCCATTGCTTGTTAACATTTTTTGGGTGTTGTCAAATATGAAACACGTTTTCTTTATAAACAGCTGGAACTAGTATGTGCCCTTTGAAATTTGTAGCTTTTCAATCTTTCAACTGAAACAATAGAGACTTCCCTTTACAAAAAAGATATTCAATAATCCTTAAACTATGAAATGATTTAAACAGAAATTTTAGTATTGTTCATTTAGAATTAACAATTTGGTTACCCTAAATTATTCACACTTATTTTTAATATTCTATCCTTTACATTCAATAATCCTTTAACTAGAAAATAATTTGAACAGAAATTTGAGTATTGTTTATTTAGAATTAACAATTTGAGGCAATCAAATTGTTCACAGTTCTCTACATTCCATCTTCTACCCAAAAAGGAAGTTCTGAGAACAAAATCCTCTCTTTTTCGAATATTCTTGCGAGGGAATTCTTTTTAAGGGTTCACATTAACTCTCCGGTGAAAAAGGAAAGGAGAGAAGCGGGCTAAGAATTTCTGCGGCGATACGATTTATTTCCGCACGTGCTGTGTCCACACACGCTGCCCGCGACAAAGTTCCACCGGCGATTGCGCAAATTTCAACGAATACGACGAAGGACATGGCACAACGCTCCGCGCGCAGTCCCTTTCGAACGCACGAGGACAAATCTTGTTCGTATTGCGTTACGCCGCCTGCGTTTTTAAGCTTCCCGCTCTCGATTCAGCCCGTCCTGAATCACCGCATTATTCCGTCCCGGGGACGTCACGTCGATGACATTCTGTTTGTTCTCTGAATTCGGCGACGAATTAAAATATCTTCACGGTACCGCGCTCCCTAGAACTCGTACCGCCGCGTCCGCGTCTGCGTTGTTGACGATTACAATCACCCCGTTGTTGTTTCGTCAGATTGATGAATCGTGATAGCTATCTGGGACGCACAGACCTAATACTTTACACAAAATATTACCAATTGCAGGTTTCCGAGATACTTATACTCTCTACCACAATACACCATAATTAAAAAAATATATTAATGGAAGAATCGATATTTATATCGATATTTACATGGTTTCAATCAGTATTTAATTACTCCCTGACAGGTTATTAACCTCTTGTTCAATAGTTCTATCGATGAAACGATTTTGAAGCGACCTGCCTTGAAACTTTGCTTCATACAGCTCGAAAACTGTTTTCTAATGTAGTTAGAAATTGTTAGATGGCACTATTCTGATAATTCTGCGCTGAAACAGTCTGTGATCACATAGTTGAGGTTTTACATCATTCGTATTAAGAAAATTATTTCTTCACAGCTATAATGCTTTTAACATTAAAATATAAAAGTTGTCATTCTTATTCTTACAATGTGCATTCTGATACATTTGTTCATTTAAATATGTCGTACGAGTTCCTTCCAGTATATTCCTCTACAAAATTCCAAATGAAGTTAAACCTACATCAAAGCGAGTCAAAAACTCACAAATTTCAAAAACAAAATTTCCCATCTTCCTGAAGATTAATTACTACTATCCCCCCTCCTCAAATAACACAAAACGTACAGAACATACAAAATTTTAAAAAAATAGGACTTGTAGATCTATACAAAGTCGTCCCATCCGAACGAAATAAAGAAACTCGAGGTTGCTACGATGCAACTTTAAACAGCGACACCCTGTATTACACGGGCCTGTTGGCGTCGAGGGGCTGAAAACGTGTTCCAGGTCACGTGTCAGCGACCGAAACGGTGCGCAACCTTGAAAGAAGGGAAGAGTCGTCGAAGCAACACGTCAGGAGCCGGGACGCAGTTAAGGGCAAGTACGCACAGGGCGCCAAGCGCCAGCCGAAGGGAGGGGCGCCCGGTACCAGTAATATGAGGCTCCGATACTCAAGCGAGCGTGGTAGGCGCCTGTCGCCTCGGTTTTATGCTTCTCTGCTCGTTTCGCCGTCCTTGATACGCTTCTCTCTTTCTCCCTCCCTTCGTCGCCACCCTCTCTCCTTCTCGTTCTCCTCCCTATCTCTCCATCTCCCTTCTCGTCGTGTTCTTCGCCTGTTTCTTTATTCATTCTTAAAACTCACTCTTTCGCCCCCTTCGCCGCGCCGAACCCCGTCCAGCCATGTCGAGAGTACTCTCTTCCTTCGCTACTCCCTCGTGCCTCACCTTTCCCTCTTCCTCTTTCCTCTGGCGTGTATATTCCACCGGCTCTCGCGCGCAAGCTTGGCCCGCGCCGCGATGCTCCTTTTGCATCGTGGATCCGGCGACGGGACCCGTTTATGAATTGTTTGTAGATTAGTTTATTTTATGCCGACACGGGGTCCGAGAGGCGGCGGCGGCGTTCGGCGAGATCGCCAAGGAAAGATAGGAACAGGTTGGCGAAACCGGCGCCTCCGAAAATTATGCAGAGTTTCGGGCTCTATTTTCGTCCGAAACGAGAATTCTTGGATCGGTAGGGTGTTCTTTGAACTCTGTCTCTCTCTCTTCGGCTCCTGTCTCGTAAGTCCTGGATTTGTTTTAAGCGGTTTGCTCTTTGAACTCCGTCGAGCCGCGTAAGTCCCGGATTCGTTTTGTCGAGTTTGTTGCCGTTGAATTTGGCAGCAAGATTGTGTTTCTGGTGTTTGATAGTTACTCGAAAAAAGCTTCCTCGTTTGTTCATGTTGCTATAGTGAAGCGTGGAAACACGAGTCCAAACAGAGTTTCAGGAAAGTTATCGAATATATAAAATATTCATACGTCAGTAGTAAAAAAACTCATAGAATTCACGAAAAAGAAGACAAATCACGCGTTTAAACGTAATATTCCAATTGTGCTAACGAAGAATCGAATATATTCCCAAAGAGATGAAACTTCAGTGATTCGCTACCCGACGCCATTTTTTTCGAACGCAGAGGCGGGAAAATTCAAACTATTCGAAGGATGCCATTATTTTACCAGAAAACTAGCCTACACCCAACACTTTAAATCATGTTTCTATCATATATAGTCTGCTGTTCCCCTACCAAGTTCCTGCGCGTACTCTACCTCGCCCTCTTCCTTTTTCGCGTACTCTGCTTACCCTCTCCTTTTCCTCTGACGCCGACCATCGTCTCGCCCGCTTCGGCCAAACGAACGAACTCGAAAGCACGCACTCTCGCGTCGTCCCTCTTACTCTGGGATCTTCCTTCTTTCTTGGTACGTTCTTTCTCCGTTTACCCTGTGCCACAGGTTTATCTCTTTCTCCCTTTATCTCTCTTCCTC